CTTATAGAAATGTTAAGCAATGGTCGTAAATATATTATACCATGTCAAAGTCGATTTTCTCGTCAATCTATTAACGAAATTGCAAAAGAAGAATACAAGAGAATATCAAACACAATTAAAAAAAGCCTTGATTCTAATCGAATGTCTATTACAGATGAACGAGCAAAACAAGCATTTCCAGAATTAGAACAAATGATTCATGATTTATATTCAAAACCATTACCACCAAAATTAAATCGGCGTGCTCGACGTGAATACAAAAAAATTAAACGTCTCCAGAAATTATTACGTCGTCGACCTGATGTTATTATACGTCGAGTAGATAAAGGTGAAGGATTTTATTTTGGTAATAAATCTATGCTAGAAAATAAAACAGAAGAATATATGACTAAAACCGAAGCTTATGAAGAATTAACCAATGGTCGATGTCCACTAGCCGATATTTTACATACAACGGAAGCTGTACTTGATTATCTTCTTAAGAAAAAAGCTATTACTAAAGATCAACGTGATAAACTTCTACCTAATCTGAACACACTTGAACTGGCTCATTTGTATACATTGCCTAAAGTACATAAGGTAATACTATTTTTGAACCAATATTTTTATGACACTCTTTTTTAAAAATTTCTATTTGTTTTCTTTTAGCCTCAATTATCAATACGACCCATCATTTCTGCTTTACATGCACCAGTTACATTCCTATCAAAATATTTGAATGATTTATTGGCGCCCATCTATTTACAAGAAGCTCGTGATATTACATTTATTAATAGTATTGACGCCACCCGAAAATTAGAAAAATATGCTGAAGATGGTTACCTCAAACCTACAACAAAGTTTATGACAGGTGATGTTGAAAATCTTTATTCAATGATACCAAGAGAAGGTGGTATTAACGCATTAATACGATTTTTGGAGAAACACTCTAAATATCAAAGAATTGGACCATTTACGATAGATATGATATTAAAAATGGCTCGTCTAATTTTAGATACAAATTATTTTGCATATGAAAATAAATACTATCATCAAAAACGTGGTGGAGCTATGGGTTCAGCATTTACTCAAGTTTATGCCAATATTTATATGCTCGAATGGGAACAAAAATTAATTCAACATCAATCTTCAAAAAACGAAATATATGGAAGGTTGTTCACTAACTTAGAGTAGATGAATTAGTTACTACTTTTCTCGTTTTAGATACATCGACGATATTTTTATGACTGTCAATGAACCATACGATGATATACTATTCGAACTTGAAAAATTACAAAACGAAGATCCCAATATTAAAATAAATTCAACTGTAAATGACACTGTTAATTTTCTCGACATCACTATTAGCAATACAAATGGCCAATTAAAAACATTTATTTATCACAAACCATCAGCTGATCCTTACTACTTACCATACACATCGGATCATCCACATCGTATTCATCGAAACATACCATATACTGCATTAATACGTGCCGCACGACTTTGTACCAATCTTCATGATTTTCATTTGGAACGATTACGTATAGAAGTATCCCTGTTATTGAATAATTATCCACCAAAATTCATCTTAAATCAATTTCTTCGGTTCTTTCAAGTCCACAAAGCAGATACTTTAATTACACGATTTGATACAAAAGTATATGATGAATTACACCATACATTACTATATCAACCATCACAACGTGAACTTGAATTAAAACAAACAAAAACAGATCCTGTCCTATTTCCACCGGCATTACAACCAAAGACATGGAATCCAAGAATGATGTATTTACGACACCGATTTGAAAGTGGACCCATATCAACATTTTCTCAAGCATTAAAGAGATGGTGGAAAAA